AAAAACCACCAAGATTTGGTTAAGATAAAAATTATTATGGTTAAGCTGTAGTCTGGATCAGACAGGTCATAAAGAAAATGGTAGACCAAAAATATAGGGAACATTGTTTTATAATTCATCCTATATGAACTGTATTTTTTGTAATTATTTATGAGAGATGAAATAAAAAAATAATACAAAGAGTATTCACTTTGGATACATCACTGCCAAAAATATATTTATATATATGTATATATATTATATTTTCTTCACTTTAGATATTCATCGGGAGTAGATAAAACAATATGGCAGTCCTAACCCTACTTTTCAGCTTTTTGAGCACAATGGGAAAGGTGGAATCAACATATATAAAGAGTATTGTTTTGTATGTACAAAAAAATATATATATATTATTGTTTTGAAGATTATATTATGTTAATTGAGTTGTAAAATAAAATATATTAAATGAAAAAAACAACTTTTAATATTAAATAATTTACATCCATCCAATTGTTTATATTGTACAATGTGATGTAGTTGGATGCCACAACCTTTTTTATGTATATACAAAACCAGAAATGTAGGCATTTAGATATGTGTGGCTGGAATCCTCTTCTTGGATACAATTGGAAGAAGATAGAGAGGAAATCTTGGGATATGATTGCCACTTTGATTCAGATGCTGGTGGGCTGCTTTTATTGGGTTGTCTTGTTGGTCCACTGTTATTTCCTCAAAAGGCCAATTTGGCACTAAATATGGACATTTAACACCAAAATTGTGTAATTGTCAAAAATAGGTTCCTAACTGGTAAGATAATATGATTTCACAACATAATGAACCATATTCAATTCATCCAATGGCAGGGTTAATAGAATGTTTTTTATTTTTAATAACATATAGGTATCAAAATATTTTTTTAATATTTGCTATCCAAATATTTGACCTAGCGTTAATAGAAGAAAAATAATTGCTATATATTTTATTCAACATAATTTTTGACACTTATATCAGTTTTATTATTAAAATGTAAAATAAATACAGGTAATTTAATCAATTCTTATATTTTATGCATATAGTTACATTTTTAAGTTTATCAACTTTTAATTTCATATCAAAAATAATAATTTTTTAATAAACATATTATGTAATATATTAAATCAAAATATATATCAATTAGTGTCCTTAATAAAATACTTTAATCTAAACATCACTTGCATTGGGATCTTTCCTGTCAATCAAATGCATTATGCTTTTCACCTAATAAAATAAATAAGAGCATTAGTTTTCATTTGACTAGAAATTAGGAGACAAGGAAAGGAAGAGTAGGTAA